GAAAACCCCTCTCAGCAACCAAGGTCAAACAGCAGCTCTCCTTGTCATAAACAGGCAGCACTCAACTCCCATCCCTTTATCTCCAAGCTACATGTCCAAACAAATCATTGGAATTGTAAAACTTCTGCTTTCATTTTGAATACCTAAACGGAAAGCAAGTGGGGAAGGGGAGGAATGAAGTTTCCCCAGCCCACACCACACTCATCCAGAGGATTGATTCTCAGTGTGCCAAGGTCACCAATGACGCCCTTCATGCAATCAGACACCCTGCCACCAGTAATAGGCTCAGAGATGCCAAATGCAATTAAAAAGTTTATTGTCAAGTTCATCCAGAGCAAGAAATACATTATTCCTTTTGAACTTCCACACTGCTACTGGAGTGAGTACATCAAAGCCTACTTCTCCATAGACAGCACAGAGTATCTCTGACAAACAAGATATAGCTACTTCTATTGGTAACAAAAGTAATGATAGTGTAAGTCGTTTATTTCTGCAGGTGTTTTATAATCATGACTCTTTGAAAATTCTCTTCATGAAAGAGTATTTTATGATTTTTCCATTTCATATATTACCCAGTTATTCCAAGTCTTGGACAGGCCAAAAAGAAGAAAACATTAGTGGTCTAACTATTATTCACAGATACACAAAGACTAGGAGATGGAACCCCCAGCTCAGCACTGTCCAGAAGAGAAAAAAAATTGAGATAATAATAATGATTCTGTAGCACCAACCGCAAACTCTTCCCAGACTCCCTCTTTGAGATGGTTGGCCTACTCATTCTACTGTACTCATTTTGGCAGGTCAGAGTGGATGTTTCCAGACAGGGGACCAAGGACACAACCATACAGCTACTTGAGAGATCTCAACTCTTTCAGGTTCCTAGAGGTAACTCCAGGGTGGAAGGAGAGCGTATCCTTTCACTCCTATCACTTGTTACTGTTGCTCCTGAGCCCTCACCGGTGTGTTCCCATTTATATAAAATAGTGGTGTCACAATGACACCACTGACTCTTAAATATGAAACCCTCTTGATACACAGTGAACACTTAATAAACATTAACTGTAATATAGGAGCTAAGGAGCATCCTCTCCATAATATGAGAATATAATTTCATTACTTTATCTCTTATGTGTTCTCATCTCTGTCCACCCTCCCACCATGCCCTAACCCCTAGGTTACATATAATACTAAGATCTGTGACTAGAAAAATCCTCACTTCTTTGCCTACTGCCATGGTCACTGTAGTACAGAGGAGTGAGTTCTCAATAGAAGTACATTTGATGGAAAGGGATCATCTTTCCCAAAATGTCTGGGCCTAGAAAGCAAACATTCATTGGAACATACTCCCAGGACCCTATTTACTCTTACGATGACATGCTTATGGTGCTTGGTGACTGCATCATGGGGACAACAGATAAAAGAGTCTGGGAAAAAGAGGAAAAGCCAGGATGTGCACTTAAATTAGGTAAAAGCACAAAGCATTTGAAACTAGGATGACATCACTCAAGAGCCCCTGAGTTTTATCATGTCCCTGAAACAAGGAAAAAATACCATGGAGCAGAGATACGACCAGAGTATCATAATCCCGACAGGCTTCAAGCAAGGATACCTTCACCTAAGGCTCTACTTTGCCCTTGTTAGAGGAGCTCTAGAGAACTCCCCATTTTCCAGGAATCATGAGCATCAGAAAAATTGTTTTCCTAGGCTGCTTTGTTGGGAATCAGAGATGAAATTGAACTCATCTAGACTGAGTGTTAAAATATGTCCTTTTTTTCTCTATTTCTTTGCAATTCTGTCCCAATTAAATATTTCACTATTTCAACATACAGTTCCTGACTATTCTGATACTAAAATGTAAGCTGAATTAAAATAACCTATAAATGTGCTCAGGAAACTAGGTTAGGGTTCAAGTCTAATAAGGTAAATTATAATCATCCAAAATATCCTCACATTAAACCTTAATCCATGTGAGTCTAGAATATAAGGGAAAATAGGTGGCACATCTGATAATTTGTGCCTAGAATATCAACCAGAAAAGAGACTTGAATTTTTACATTTGAGACTGAGGCAGAAGTCCCCATAATAATGTCCACATAGCACAATTTACTGCCCACTGACTATATTATCAAATGTTCTTCCTCAAATTAAACCTCAATAACCTTGCTCTTGGTGGTGTGGGGCTTCCCCAAAACAAGAAGATCATTCTATATGTGATGTCCACTTCCATTAAACTAGCATTCCAAGGAGGGAAATTTTCATGAATGGGTTCAATCATTGGAGGTGTCCCATCTCATAGATGTATTATAGAGTTGAAAGAGAATTAGAGATAATCTAATCCAACTTCCTCACTTTACAGATGAAGAAACAGAGATCCAGAGAGGTGTGCTGCTCAAGGCCAAGTCAGGACTTGAACCACATCCCCTCACTCTGAGTTCAGAGCTCTTCGTACATCATCCTCAGTACAATAAAGTTCAAATTTCTTAATTCTTTTTAGCCTGGTAAACATTAGCCAGTTAGACAACAAGCCTTTATTAGGCAACCAGTTTGATTCTGCTGGGGTTTGGGCATTTTAAATTAATTTTGCAAATAAGCACATAAAAACCCCAAACCCAAAAACAAAAACGTCTTGACAGCCAATCTTTCTTCCTAATAAAATGTGGTAAAATTAAAGCAAAATAGTCTTCTTTACCATTCACCCAGCTGAAAAGTTACTGGCCATAGGGCTATGGGCAAATGATTATCGATAAAGTGGCTGTCCCGGCCCATTCCAACTGCTTTTTATAACTTTGAGGATGTCACCAAAAAAGCAGGATAGCTAGTGAAAACTATAGCAGGAGGCCTTTATTTGGAGCATTTAAAATCACAGAAGGGAAAAAAAAGCTTATTGCTTAACCTGAGACATACAAGGGCACGTGGAGACGAACAGGGGAAAGAGGAAGCAAAAATAAGTCTGGGTTACAGTCCCCAAAGAGACAAGGATACAACCAGCTCTCCAAAGGGACAGGATACGACTAAGACCCAATCAAGGGAACTGTCCGGATCTTCAGCAAAATGAATTTATGCCACAGCAGGAGATGGAAATGCATCAATGACCCAGCAAGAGTCACCTGGGACCCAGGTCATGCCAAACTTTCTTCACGTTTCTGAGCTTGGTGCAGGTAAACTAGAGCTCTATCCCACACAACAGTGCTGCTCAGTCAAGAGGATACAGGTGAGATATTTTCTAGGAAGGGAGAAGCAACGTCTCTAACAGTCATGTTTGATTGACATCCCAACGAAACCAATCCTAGTTGGTTTCCCTGAGATTTGATGTCACAGAGAGGAAGGTACCTATTAGCAAGGTTGCTCCAGGCATAAAAGATCTCAGAAAGGGGTTGAGGAGAAATTGGAAGAAGGAAAGAGTTTCTAGGACAGAGACAGCATTGCAAAAAAAAAAAGCGCCAAGGTCCCAAAAGCTAGAGGTTTCTTAGAGAACAGCAGTGGTTTTATATTTATAAGTTTTTCTGAGTGATTTAAGCTTTGAGTATGTTAGTAAGCCTAGAGTTCAAATGGTTCTATTACTAAATAGATTAATTAATTTTACTGCAGCAGATGGTGACTTTAATTCAAGGCTTCTCTCCAACATAATAATGTACTGTCTTTCATATCCAAAAATGCTGCTGCCACCATAAAACATCAGTAGGGCATTATGAACTTCTATAGCACATATTCTCTACAGTACTCCCTTTGGTACTTTCTCTAGAATTGTTATCTGTTTCATGTGTGTATGACTTATCAAAATTATAACTTCTTTGAGGGCAAAGACCAGGTCCTATACATCTTTTGTATCTTTCAGAGTTCTCAGTACAGAGGGGGTGTTTGTTCAATGATTCCATTGTTCTTTCAGCATTGTTAACAGACGTATCAATACATCTACCCTCTCTTAACTAGTCCCTCTTATGCCCAGTCATGTCCATTTGCAAAACAATTGTCTGAGACCTTTCTTCTGTCTTCACATAGGCCCTTTGTACAGTTCATGCTTTTCTTGTGTTCTTCTTGATGTTATTGTTGTTGTTCAGTCATTTTAGTCATGTCCAACTCTTCATGACCCCACTCGGGGTTTTCTTGGCAAAGATACTGGAGTGGTTTGCCATTTCCTTCTCATTTTACAGAAGAGGAAACTGAGGCAAACAGGGTTAAGTGATCCCAGAGTCAGATGCCTAGTAAGTATCTGAGGTCAGATTTGAATTTGAGAATGAGTCTTCCTGACTCTAGGCCTGGTACTCTATCCACTGCACCACCTAGCTGCCTTTACTTGACACTATCAAAACAAAAATCTACTTGATGCTATCATATTTTTAATTGGTCTCACATTCTGTTCTACTCTATCACTGCTATATTCTTATAATAAGGTATCATGGCATGGTAGATAGAGCGGTAGATCTGGAGTCAGGAAGACCTGAGTTCAAACGTTGCCTCAGATGCTTATTAAATATGTGAGCCTGATCAAGGTAGTTAATGTCTCTTAGCCTCAGTTTCTTCATCTCCAAAATGGAAACAATTATAGCACCTACCCTCACAAGATTGTTCTAAGGATCTACTGAGATCCACATATATAAAGTGACTCAGAAATGTTAAAGTACTATATAAATGTTAGCTATTATTATTCTTATCAAAGTTATTGTGTATTTATGTACTACTGCATATTTGTACCTGTCTCATCTTGCCTGCTAGACTGAAAGCTCCAAGAGAGTAGGAACCATATCTCAATTATCTTTCTTTGAATCTCCCCCAATACCAAACAATGGTTTTCATGTAGTAGGTGCTTCCTAAATGGTTGTTGAATGAATGAATAGCTATGAAATTGAGCAAATTAGAGCCTTAGCTCTAGTCATCTGAGCTACTTGCCCTGCCTAGAAAGTGTTTATGTACTAATGAGCTGATGAAACAATTCGGCAACTGGAGGGTGCCACCACTCACCACAGGCAACAACTAGAAAATAATTAAAGAAGAAAAAATACCTCTTCATAGTTCCAGGGAGCTCCAGACTAAATGGGATCTCATAGGATAAGGCTAGCATGTCATCCAAGGCCTTCCTGACCTCCTGCAGTTCTCCCAGGGGCACACAGCCCAGCAAGGAAGTCAGCTCACAGTCCTGAAATTGGATGAACCTTTCTTGCTCTTCTATATCCCGTCTTAATTGTTGATCTTTTGCTTCTAGCACAGACATCCTTGCTTGGAGGCCTTCGATTTCCTTCTGTAGGGGACAGGCAGAACAGATTTTACAGATTAACCCTGCTAACAGCAAACTGCTTGGCTGATAATGAGTCATTTAAATGAGAGTTAACTGTATGCACCAGAGCAGTGACGGACGCTTCTCCTTCTGAGGCAGGCAGATTTTCTGAGGTTTGCTGAACTGGAAAAATCATGCTGGCTTTACATTTCTGATTAGTTGGCATAAGGAGAAACAGTCCTCCCCAAGCATGAAATAACTGCTGGGGGCATCCAAAAATTTGACTGGAAAAATGCCATAAATGTATAAATTACTTCCATCATAGTGGATACAATGGTGAGATGCCAGGACAAGGAGCATTATCCAATGTAGTCACTTATGAAGTACATAATACCACTCAGCAGGTCTCCTCCAAACCCAGCCAGCTATCCATCTGAGTCCAAATGTGGGAATTGTGTGTGTGTGTGTGTGTGTGTGTGTGTGTGTGTGTGAATAAAGACCATAGAAGCATGTCTTTACAGGGCTATAATCTGGGGCAGGAGTTGGCAAACAGTAAAGACAAATCCTCCTGCCACCTGTTTCTGTAGGGCTTGTGAGATAAAATTTTATTTTTAAAATGTAAAGATCATTCTTAACTCTCAGGTTTGGCCAGATTTGACCATTAGTTTGCCCAATCTAGTGAGTACAAGCAGAGTATTGCTCTTGTCATATAAAATGACATCAATGGCAAGTGCCATCTAGCCTATGCCATGGGCTCAAAAATTGAATTTCTGTCTGCATCCCAAAGAGATCATAAAAATGGGGAAAGGACCCACATGTACAAAAATATTTATAGCAGTTCTTTTGCAGTGGCAAAGAATTGGAAATTGAGGGGATGCCCATCAGTTGGGGAATGGCTGAAGAAGTTGTGGTATATGAATGTAATGGAATACTATTGTGCTATAAGAAATGATGAGCAGGCTGACTTCAGAAAAACCTGGAAAGTCTTACATGAACTGATGCCAAATGAAGTGAGCAGAACCAGGAGTACATTGTACACAATAACAGCCACATCGTGTGATGACTAACTTTGATAGACTTAGCTCTTCACAGCAATGCAAGGATCTAAGACAACTCCAAAAGACTCATGATGGAAAATGCCATCCACATCCAGAGAAAGAACTTTGAAGTCTGAATGCAGATGGAAGCAAACTATTCAAAGCATCATCACTTCTGGAGGTCAGTCAGTCAGTCAACATTTAACTTAGATTGGGAGGAGAGGCTGGGCTAATTCCTAAATGTTGTAGTAGTACTTCAATTCCAATCCAACAAGGATTTATTAACTATCTATTATGTGCATGATAAAAAATAAATAAATAAATAAATAAATAAATGAAATTAAAAAAATAAAAAATATTATGTGCATGATACTGAACTAGATGCTGGAGGTACAAAGACAAAAGGGAAACCAGACTCTGACCTCAAGGAGCTTCTAGTCAGTTAGAATTTCTTATTAGAACCCTACATGCTTCTACTTCCCTCACTAGACCTGGGAAGTCATAAGTGATATATCAATAACATAGGCTTAGGAGAGCTATTAGTTATGTGCATGGCATGGCATCATAATTGGCAACGAATTGGCAAATGCTTTTGCCCTTTCTAATTTTTCAACCATATTGACCTCTCTGTAGCACTTGACACTGTTGACCATCCTTCCTCTACTTGGACATTCTTTCCTCCCTGAGTTTTCAAAGAACTTCTGGTTTCTCCACCTACCAGTTTGAGTTCTCATCCATGTCCTGCTCCTACGTGTCGGTGCACCCCAGAGCTATATCCTGGGACTTCCTCTATGTCTAAACTCTCTCTTGATGATCTCAACCACTCCCTTGAGTTCAACTATCACCTCTAAGCATATGAATCCCTTTTGACTTTGTCCTATTGCCAGCCATGACTTGCCACACTCCAGTCCTGGAATATTCCAACCATCTGCTGTCTTCACTCCTGTTCATGTGCTGCTAAATGAAGCGGGAGGAAATCACTAATCCTTGCTGACTGAGTTCACTTGTAAATTTGTTATCACATATAAAGTAGGCAAGGCAAGAATTCTACCCTACCTAATTTATCTATTATCCCATTCTTTATAGTGGCTGGTCCAAACATTTTCATCTTTTCTAAATCCCCCCAGAGAGTAGTGATCAACAGGGATCAACCCCTTTTCTCCTCCCCCCACCTGCTTATGTGAGGACCCTGCCTCCTACTTCACTGAAAAAAACTGAGGCCATTCACCAAGAGCTCCCTCTTTTCCCCTTCTCTTCTCACACCCCCCCCAACATCATGCCCATTTATCTCTTCTTTTGCTCTAGTCACTGACAAGGAAGTGGCCCTTTCCCAAGCCAAAACCAACCACACCAATTCATATCCCACCAACTTCCACTACCATCTTCCTAGTTTGAACCTAAATGTCACCTTTGTGCAGTATAGTGTGTGGCACTGATCCTCACTGTTCTCCCTATTAAAAAAAACTCTAGTATGGCTCTTTCAACCAACCTGCACTCAATCATACTGGAAAATTGGAGTTCCCAGGGAGAGTGGCCACACTGCTATTACGGCACTCCCATTAGACTAAGAGCTACCTGAGAATAAGAACTATTTGTTTTTTGCCTTTATTTGTAAAGTATACTTAAAAATTCAGTACTTAAAACAGTGCCTAGCACACAGTAGGTGCTTAATAAATGTTAGTGTACTGAATGCCACAACCCATTTTTTTAAAGATACTAAGCCCTGATGTGAGTAACTATATTTCTGTTACTAACGACTAGAACTCCTGAGCCTCTACTAGTCTCTTTCTGTTTAACAAATCAGTAGAGTCAGTCAATCAATAAATATTCATTATGCACCTACTGTGAGCCAACTATTCTCCTAAGCACTGGGGATATAAAGAATGTTTATGCATGATAGTAATAAGGAAGTTTGAAAGAAGGGGGGGATTGGGAGGAAAAGATAATGAATTCCATTTTGGACATGTTGACTTTAAGATAGACATCTTAAAAAGGATATCCACTTTCAGATGTCCAATGGGCAGCTGGCGATGTGAGACTGGAGGTCAATGGAGAGGTTAAGGCTGGATAGGTGGATTTGAGAAAGATAACACCATTAACTTGGGGGAAGGGGAGGCAACAGAAGCTAAGTGACTTGCCCAAGGTCACACAGTTAGTAAGTGTCAAGTGCCTGAGGCCAGATTTGAACTTAGGGCCTTCTGACTCCAGGGCCAGTGCTCTATCCACTGTGCCACCTAGCTGCCCCTGACACTATTAACTCTTAATCAGAGACATTTATTAAACAAAAGGCAAAGCAAAAGTAAACAGAATATAACATTCTACCCATAAACTTGGGACACACTCTCCCACCAATATAAACAATGTCCATAGGGAAGAATGGCACAAACTTATGGAAACATATTAAGGGGCACTTAAGGGACCACATGTGCCCAGGCCAAGTCAAAGCTCTGGCCTGCAGGTCTCAATGCCCTTTACCCCCTCCAGGAATAATCTGTGCACTAATTCACTTGAGGAAGGGGCCGCAACCTCTCTGGGCCCCTCAGCCTTCATGCTGGCTGGGGCCACTTTTCACAGGCTATTCTTCCAGGCCACTGAAGTAGTGTTCAGCTCTTTCAGCAAAGCAGAAACTCTAAGCCTAGGATTGTCCCAGCTTTTCCAGTTCTGCTTCCTTGGTTGGACTCTAAAGGGTCTCTATTTCTCAGGCAGCAATTTGCAATGTAATCTCTGTCGTCTGCTTCCCAACCCTACAAGAGATCTCTGAACCCTAAACTCAGCTCTGGTCAGTTCCCAGAAAAAAGGTTTTTCTTCGTCCAATCAGCTCTTCTAGGCAGCAGAAGGCGATTCGGTCTCTGAGGTCTTCCTGTAACCCAGCTCTGAGGTCTCTTACATGAAATGACTTGCCTCATATCAGACATATGTAAATAAGATGCTAGGGAAAAAGACACGATGGATATCTTTACCCTGAGTAAATATGGGATGCTTTCTCAGTATTCTTCCCACAGTTCTCCTTGTTTCTGCCTCTTTTCACAAAATTATGTAATTAGAAAGGTGGGTAGGCCTTATACTCAGCTAACGCCACATTCTCGCTCACTCCACATATCCAATCTGTTGCAAAATGTTGTCATTTCTACCTCCACAATTCTCCACTCACATATTACTGACCCAATTGTGGTGCTCATCATATCCTTGGCTAGATTAATGCAATTATTGCAATTGCTAGATTATTGACCTCCTAATTAGTATCTCTCACCACTCCAACCCATCTTCCACATAGCTGCCAAAATAATTTTCCTAAAACACAAATCTCACCACATCACCTCCCCTATTCAATAAATTCCAGTGACTCCCTATTGCTCTAGGAACAAATATAGTTTGTTTGTTTGGCTTTTAAAGCTTTTGCCTGATCCCTTCCTGCTTTTCCAGTCTTCTGACATTTTGTTTTCCCTCTACACACTCTGCAATCCAGCTGTGTTAACTTACTTGCTTTTCTTCATTCACAACATTCCATCACCCATCTCCATCCATGCCTTTGGGTCACTGACTGATCCCTTTGCCTGCAGTTCTCCTTCCCATCCCCTTGTCATCACCTCTTAGAATCTGTAGCTTCTTTCAAGACTCAGCACAAATGCAGTCTTCTACAGAAGGCCTTTCCTGATCTTTCCCCTCTTCTCCCAGATAATGGAGCTTCCCCTTTGAGGTTAACTTTCATCTATTCTGCATGTACTTTGTATGTACCTAATTATTTATGTGTTGTCTTCCCTGCTAGAATGTAAGCTTCTTGTGGGCAGAGACTGTTTTTGCCTTTTTTTAATTCCCATCACTTAGCACAGTGACTGCACCTAGTAAATATTCATTGGTTGATGAGTCTCCTTCCTGAACTCCAGGCTTATATTTCCAATTATCTACTGGACCTTTTAATTGGATACCCCATAAGCATCTCAAACTCAAAATATCCAAAACAGAATTCATTATCTTTCCCCCTAAACCCACCCTTTTTCCTAATTTCCCTATTTCTGAAGGTACAATCATCCTTCAAATTTCCCAGGTTCACAACATCAGCTTCTCATCCACTCTTAACTTTCTCTCACCCTTCAATTAGTTGCTGGTGTTATTTGTACCTTAACAATATCTCTCCAGAACCTGTGTTCTCTCCACTCGCATCATCATGCTCATCCTGGTTCAGGCCCTTATTACTTTCTGCCCAGACTATTGAAACAGATTCCCACTCAGTCTCCCTGTTTCGAATCTCTTTCCTCTTCAATCCATTCCTCAAAAGACAAATTGATATCTCTAAAGCACAGGTCTTACCATGTTATTACCCTGTTCAAAAGCTCCAGTAGCTCCTTCTTGCCTTTAGGATAAAATGCAAATTCCTCAGTTCACATTTAAAGCCCTTCACAATCTGGCTTTGACCTACTTTTCCAAGTTTACTCCATATTCCTTTCCCCCATGCACTTTGCAATTGAGATAAATAAGCCCACTTAGTGCTCCCCATATACAACATTCTGTCTTCTGCCTCCATGGCTTTGCATGGGCAGCCATTCATGACTGGAATTCACTCCCTCCTTGCTTAAGCATCATAGAATTGCTAGTTTTCTTCAAGCCTCAGGTCAAATGCCAACTCCTATGTAAATCTCCCCCTGACCTCATCAAGAGCTCGTGCCCTCCACTCCAGAAATTGCTTTGCATATAATCTGTATTTACTTATATATGTACATGGATGTCTACCCCAACCCTGTCAATTCTACACCAGGAATTCTCTACACTGATAAAAAAAAATCATAGGTCCAAACAAAAACAAAAATGCAGAAATCAGAGATCAAAAGCAACTTCAAGTTCTAAGGTCACTTGAAAATTCATAAGAGTTCTACTAGACATCCTTCCTAGCCTGGAAAAGATAATTCATAAAATCAAAGCAAGAACAAATTATTAGGAAGGGGCTAAGTATCTGACAGTATCTAACCCTCGGCTCAGTTCATGCCAAGGGAACCATGGAACCAGGCTAGAGGATTTATATTCACTCTAGGAAGGCCCTACCTCACCATCTCAGTCCAAGGCTAAATACTTTCTATCAATATACTCAAACACACTATTCCCAGAAACAAGGTTTTTCTAGGTGACTGCACTGGACCATGGATGAACCTTATTACCAGCAGGCAGCTATATGATACAGTGGATAGAGAGGTGGGCCTGTAATCAAGAAGACCTGAGTTCAACTAATGCATTATTGGTGGGGTTGTGAACTGATCCAACCATTTTGGAGAGCAATTTGGAACTACACCCAAAGGGCTATAAAAATGTGTATATCTTTGACCCAGAAATACTACTTCTAGGGCTGTATCCCAAAGAGATCATAAAAATGGGAAAAGGACCCACATGTTCAAAAATATTTATAGCAGCTCTTTCTATGGTGGCAAAGAATTGGAAATTGAGGGGATGCCCATCAGTTAGGGAATGGCTGAACAAGTTGTGGTATATGAATGTAATGGAATACTATTGTGCTATAAGAAAGGATGAGCAGGCTGACTTCAGAAAAACCTGGAAACTGATGCTGAGTAAAGTGAGCAGAACCAAGAGAACATTGCACACAGTAACAGCCACATTATGTGATGACTAACTTTGATAGACTTAGCTCTTCTCAGCAATGCAAGGATCTAAGCCAACTCCAAAAGACTCATGATGGAAAATGCTATCCACATCCAGAGAAAGAACTTTGGAGTCTGAATGCAGATGGAAACATACTATTTGCTCTCTCTTTTTTTGTTGTTGTTGTTTTGTTTTGTTTCTTCTTTCTCGTGGTTCCTCCCATTGGTTCTAGTTCTTCTTTGCAAGATGACTAATGTGAAAATATGTTTAATAGGAATGTATATGTAGAGCCTATAACATATCAGATTGTACACCATCTTGGGAAGGGGAGAGGGGAAGGAGTGAGGGGAAGAAAATTTAAAACTCAAATTCTTATGGAAGTGAATGTTGAAAACTAAAAATAAATTAATTAATTAATTAAAAATTAAATAAAATTCTTTAAAAAAAAGAAGACCTGATTTCAAATCTAACCTCAGGCACTTGCTAGCTATGTGACCCTGGGCAAGTCACTTAATCTCTGTTTGCCTCCATTTCCTCAACTATAAAATAGAGATAATAATAGCCCTTACCTCCCAGGGTTATTATAAAAATCAAATGAAATAATGTTTTAAAGTACTTAGCAGGGTGCCTGACACATAGTAAGTGCTTAATAAATGTTTATTCCCATCCTCTGCCCATCTGAATCCACAATCCTATGGCTAGGGCAGTGTTTAGGGTTGAATACCAAAACCAAATTACTCTGTAGAACTCTTACTATCTGCCATTCAGTACAACTTTTTGTCTTATAGTCGACTTTGAAACCTAGTTCCAGGTTTGGTCACATCCTAGGAAGCCAATCAGTGGTTCCTGCCACAGCAGAAAGCATTAAGCTGTGAATATAAAATTGTGTGTCTGTGTGTGTGTTGGAAAGGGTGGGAAACACTAAGCTTGTGTACTCGATTACTTTGAGATCCCGTAACTAAGCTTCCTATCTCAGACAGACTTTGCTTCAGTGTTGAAGTCTACTTGTCTGTGATAAGTCATGTCTACTTCTCCAATTCCCAAGTATGTATCTGATCTTAACCCATTGCTCTATTATGATTTCGAATTTGAGTGATCTCTGGCTCTCAAAGCTAGAAGTCTTAAAGAGAATACTGACTAATTATTTGTTGGACATCTTGAAGATAAGTCAACAGTTAGACTGGGTCACCTTGAAAGTCTGTTTTAATAGCTAAGATTCTGTGAGTTTATGATTGCTGACCTTGGACTCACTGCCTTATACTGACCTCTAGTTGCCATCCATTCCTTATATTGCACCATCCCAGTGATTGGCTTTTATCCATTATTTCCATTCCCTTTCCCAGCACTGGTTTATATCTTTCTGGTCTACCATTGCCCACAGTTTGGTGCAATAAAGATTTTCAAATGGGATTGTGTTTTGCAAAATTCTTTTTATCGTCAAAAAAAAACCTTCAAAGGTTAGCATGATCAAAGATGACAAATGAGCCTAGAAAACACAAAGTACATATTTAAAAGATAATGAGGTATGTCAAAAATAGGCACAAAAGCCACTGTTTTCAGCCCCTCGTTTATAATGAGATTCATACAACCCCTGTGACAGTCCTCTTCCAATCACTGCTTAGAGAATTTTATTGGATTCCAGCCAAAGCTCTAATTGCTACACTGAAGCAAAGAAAAGATTTCCAATTTATCCCATTTGCCTCAAATGGCTGCAAAATGACTTTACCAGTAGTGCATTTTTCTTCCAACTTCATCATCCTTTTACCTGCAATTGCTGTTTCTCTTGAAGAAGCCAATCTCTCCTAGTGATAGAAACCTGGAGTCTGTCCTGAACTGCAGATTCTGTGAGGTTGGTGTCCATTCTAAGCTGGGGTTGGGTTTCTTCACTGCTGACCCTTAAGAGGTAAAAGAGTAAAACTTTATATTGGAGCAACCTGGTAAATAAATTCTGGAAATCTTAACATCAGTAAAATGTCTTTATTGGCTTATAAAATGGTCACCATTAACATTCTAATCAAGGTCATGGAAATGCAGGATCATAGGTTTAGAGTGGGAAGGAATCATGGAGGTCATCTATTCTAAACTCCTCATTTAACAGAAGAGGAAACATAAGACCATAGAGGTTAAACACAGACCTTAAGAGAGAGAGGCAGGATTTGAACATAGGTGCTTTGGCTCCAAAACCAGCACTCTTTCCATAGTACCGAAGTGCCTCTCAAAAATAAGATAAGATGCATAAACTGGATTTATAAAGCAATTGCTAACGTCTTCCCCTTTCAGATTACATTCTAGCTACTCTGGATATTTTTGTGTATGTACACAGTTGTTTACATGTTGTCTCATCCATTAAAGTGTGTGCTCCTTGAGGGCACAGAATGTTTTTTGCCTTTCTTTTTATCCTCAGACTTAGTACAGTGTAAACAATAAATACTTGTTAACTGATTGATTGATTGGTTGATTGGTTGATTATCTAAGGCAGAGGTTCCCAAACTTTTGGCCTACTGTCCCCTTTAAAAAAAATCATTCAGCGCCCCCATGGAAATCTGCTTTCTTTACATTTTTTTAATTTGCATTATTTCAAAAAATATATAAAATATATTTTAAATGATGCTTATAAATTATTGTAAATTTGTGGGGTTTTCCTGCATTGAAATTCTGATGATGTAATATTGTGTCATGTAACCATATAGCACCGTATTGTAAACAAGTCATTACACACACATATTCCTTCGGATTCAAGCTGGACTTCCCAACAATGTGCAACAACCTTGACTGCCAGCATTTGCTTGTTAAGACTTGTCAGCAGCCTTGACCACTGATTGGTTATATCTTGCATTTTGTGTGTTTATTTGGAAAATAATGTAATCACTACAACTTTAAGGTTTTTCAAAATTTTCTTCTCTTCTTTCCTTATGCTTCCACCACCCCCTTACTTTTATTCAAAACCCTCTAATTGCACCCAAGGCTACTACCACCACCCCCATTTTTCCAGCACCCCCTAGAGGGTGGTATCACCCACTTTGGGAGCCTATGAATTGAGGGTTTTGTATTTTTTTTAATGTGACAAATTCACAGATGTTGGATCAGGGATCAGCAGAAAAGCTCTCTTAAGGAGCTTTTAACATATTAAGAGATGTATAAGCATGTTCTTTTTAATCTCTACTGCAATCCTTTGGTTTTTATTTGAAGATAAGTTCTACTTTGTTAAAATATTGGAACATGTCTATGTGCCTAATAGCCACAAAATCAAAGATACCTTTTAAATTAATTTTATCATTTAGTAAATCACCAAGGATGGCTTATCCTGCAATTAAATCTTAAGACTTGCTATATCTCTGTGACATCTGTCAGTCTGAGGTGTAAACTCTATGTCCTAAAAATGTCAAGTTAAGCTTTCCACCTTTAGTTCATGGCCTGGCTTCTCCCACTTCATAATTTTACACGTTTGCCTGAGAGGTTCTCACTAATTTTGAAATTTCTCTAAGAGAAGGATGAGGTCTTCCTTTTTTTGCTGCAAACTACCAAAGAAACTTTTATTTCTCTATATCTTAGTAAGTAAAATGTACTAACCCTAAATCCAACTACCTCTCCCAGCTCCTCAATAGAAGCTTACTAAAAGCTCTTCTCTCTACCTCCATGCATTTTGTTTCTTAAAATCCTGAGATGTACAATATTGTATTGCAATTTACTTGGTCTTTATAGGAAAAATGATAATAATAATAACAAAGTCATATTCACCTAGGATCCCCAGATCAATGGACTTTTACAGAATGATAGAGTCTCATTCTACTCCCAGATCATTTCATTCATTTCTGAATGCCTTTGACCAACTCCATTTGTTATGAACATAGAGTTTAAATATTTTATATATGTCTTGTCATCTTTTTCACATATATGACTGCAAAATTAATGATAAAAATGTCAACAATAATCAATATTCTCCCTAACAGATCTGCAGATTTCTTTTGTTTCTCCCACACAGTCCAATGTTTATGGAGTTCGATAGGTATGCATTGATCGATTGAGCTCCTATACCCTTCAGCCTTGTCAATTTTTGCATCTGAAAAATGGAATGATACTCATCATATACCAACAAACTATGTACTACATTGTTGTTGCTGTTTTCAGTTGATTCAGTCACATCCAACTCTTTGTGACCCCATGGGGTTTTCTTGGCAAAGATACTGGAATGGCTTACCATTTCCTTCACCAGTAGATTAAGGCAAAAAGAGGTTAAGTGACTTGCCTAGGGTCACACAGCTAGTAAGTATTTGAGGCCAGATTTTAACTCAGGTCTTCCTGATTCCAGGCCCAGCTCCACTGATCCACCTAGCTGTATCATGTACTATATAACCATAGCATTCCAAGAATGTGGGGGAAAAAAGGGGGGTGGGGAGCAAGTTTGAAGATAAAAGAAAAGGCTTTCATCTTGTCTTAATTATCTGTGAAAATGGAGGGTTACAGTGACACAGATGATGGTTTTGCAAAGATTCTTTGCACCAAACTTACTTCCTATACTGCTTTGATTAGGTTAGTATTAAGATTTGTCTGGATCTCCTAAACACATACCATCTGGATAGGACTGAGGAAGGGGAGCTTGTCTGAAATTTAAAATTAATCACAGATGATCTATGAGATAGATATTCCATGGATGGAATTGGAAACTGGCCATATTATCATATGCCATATTCATTACATAATCCAAATGACAGCCCCCTGTGAAATGCCAGTATTCTAAAAATAGAAATGAAGCCACAGACAGTTGCTATGATCTACCCCAGGCCACAGTGTGATCCAGTAATCAAGCAAAGTCTGGTTTTGACCATGTGTCTCCTCCTTGCTCTGCCAGGTCATTCTTTAGTATTTTCTGACTGTGTTTGCTCTGTTTATGTGTAATAATTCCCAACAAGTCTCCCTCATCAATGCAAATTAGTACAATTCTGCTATAAACTAATCAGTATATAAAATGATCAAATCACTGAGGGTCAAGTATTAAAACATTGGTATGCTAGAGTGGCACTCAGGCAAAGAATGTGTATGCTGATGGAAGCTCTATGTGTATTTATTGTCTTACATGCTCCAGTGCAAATTAGGCAGACCCTTGTTAAGCACTTTTGCTAAAATAAATAAATAAAAAATAAAAAAAAAACTTTGACTCTTCTATTTGGTCCTCTTCACAGGAAGGGAAAAACAATAACTTTGAAGTTAAGATAGAATCCCACCCCCATTGAAGAATTTCAGCTGAAATTGACACAGCAGCAGAATCTGTATTCTATCAATTACACTCACTGCATGACTATTATGTGTGAATATTCCTGTCATATTTGAAAAAAAAAAAGGAAATAGACAGCCATCTGTGTATCAACTATTCAAGTGCCAGACTATTAATGTGTATGTGCTTTGTGATGATTACACATCATTGCCTCCTCACCAGCCAAAGAGTATTCAGACTTTCCCAATGCTTTCAAGTGCTCTTTGCTTTGCTAAGGGGGCCACCTCCTGAAGCCTTCATAGAGGGAATCCTGATTAGTCAGTAAAGAAGACAGACTATCCATCTTCAAGCATATTTTATTACACAAAGCATTCATTAAAAAAAAAACGTGCATACACTGTTTTCTAAGAAATTTATGCACACCACTGGGGGTTCTTTATCAGGCACATTGGATGCCAATCACTATACTGGGGATATCAAAAGATATTCCATGCCACAGCTAGGATCAGTGAACTTTAGAGTTGAAAAGGGACTTGAAATTATTGATCCAGAGCCAGAAGGGACCTCCGAGGTCACTTAGCCCAAGCCCTTCATTTTAGATAAGGAAGCTGAAGCCTAGAGAGATTGACAAATGACTTGCCTAATTTTATGTAAAGAATAAGCATTAGGGGTCAGATGGTATGGACACCAAAGTCAAGGCTCTTTCCACTGTACCATAAGCTGCCACCTAAGAAATTGTGCAGTCCAAGTCATTCAACTTGAAGATGAGAAAATACAAGGCTCATGTAAGTAATTATACTTGTAAGTTCCTTTAGGGAAAGGATAATATCATATATCTTTATCACCCAAGTACCTCATGACACGTTACACATAGTAGGCATTTAATACACATTTTGAGAGTGAATGAACAAATTAATATATGAAAATTGCTCTTAAGTCACTTGCCCAAAATTACAAAACTGGTGGCAAAACTGAGATAAAAATTAAGTCTACTGAATCCCAGGTCTGAGATCTTTTCATTATGCCCCATTCACATCTGAATTGTTTTTAAATTTTCATTTATTTTATTCTGAACTTAAAAAATAAAACAAGCATTTCTATAACTTAGTAGAAAAGGAAAAAAAGATTGCACATGAAGCTGCAAATCTATTACACACAACTTACTATTCCTTTTAAATATATAATAAAGTTATCATGTAACTTTCTTTTTTTTTCCCTTTTTTCATCCTTCCCCCACCCCTGTCCTAGAGATGGCTACCATTATACACAAATGTGTGTGTGTGCGTAATCATTCTATATGTACTTGTATTGATCAGTTCTTTCTCTGGATGCAGATACATGTCTGAATTATTGAGCACATACAGTACACACACACACACACACACATGGTACCCCGCCCAAAGATAACAAAGGCCTTCTCAGGTTACCATGTACAAATCCCAAGTCCAACTGGACTCTCACATTAGTGTAATAGATTAAAATGAAAAATAAACTTGTAACTTAGGAAGTGACAAGTCACTGGGTTTCTTTGGACCTCAGTTACCATTACAATAAAGTAAAGTAAATGAAAATTCTTCACTTTTAATATCCAATTCTTTACAGCATTGTATTTATATGCAAAAGTTTTATCTGATGAAAAGCCCTTCTATCTTTTATTTACTACTCTGTTGATCTTTTATAGGACGATAAAGGAAGAGCTAAACTTTGACTTGCTCTAAATTACATGTGACTTTTTTGTATTAGCAATTAGTGATTAATCACTATTCCTATTTTACCATTCTAATAATTCTATTTTTATAGAAAGCATAATTGACTAGAATAATGTTTCATATGCTCTTTGATTCAATCATACAAGCAATGGACAAGCATTTATTAGATGTTTACTATGTGCCAGGAGCTGTGACCTCAAAGACAAAAGCAAAAAAGGCCCTGACCTCAAGTAGCTTACTTTCTAATAGAGGAGACAACATATATATATATATATATATTTACATTTATATGTAGGTATATGAAAAACACACAAAACAGATACAAGATAACCTTGTAGGGGAATATACCAGCAGCTAGAAGGAATGCATACTTAGGAGAAACTTGTCTCCTCCTAACAAGTACTCATAGTTGAAATAGCATTATCTATTTGGTGATAACTTCTCCAAATTGTAAGTATGACATCCAGGATGAAACAGAGCTTCATACATAAGATCCTGTACCAACTCATACTTACAAAATGGCAGGCAGTATCACAAATTATAAGCAACAACTGGAACTTTCTTAAAATCATAGAATGTCAGATTCAGAAGGGGCCTTGGAGATTTTCTAGTCCAACTCCTTTGAAGAACTAGGAATGCAACAGGTAACATGACTTACTCAAGACCATACAGCTAGTTAGTGGCAGAGACAGGACTAGAAGAATCCAGGTCTTCTGATTCTTGGAGGAGTAGGAGGAGGAGGGTTTCCATTCTATCATCCTTCTACTTCTTACTAATTGTGTTAAACCCAATAGCAGAAAAAAGGCTAAAGGGAATTTGGTCAATGTTGAAATTAGTGAAGTACTTTGGGATAGGCACCCATACCTTGGAGATATTTTGACTCTTAGATACAAGCTTGGAAATGTTTAGATTCTCTGATAACCAGCAGCCTCTCATCACCTCCCACCTGGACTACAGCAATAGCCTCTGGTTCAATGGCTCCTTCTTTACCTCCAGGATCAAATGCAAAATCCTCTGTTTAATTTTAAAGCCCTTCCTACTTTTCCAGTTTTCTTATACTTTATTCCTCTCCACATACTGTGATACAATGCCATGGGTTTTCTTCCTGTCTCTCACATAACACACTCCATCTCCTAACTCCAAGCATTTTCCATGGCTGTCCCCCATGCCTGGAACCCTTTTCCTCTTCATCTCTACCTCCTGGCTTCCCTGGCTTCCTTCAAGTCCCAAATGAAGTCTCACCTTCTGCAAGAAACCTTTCCCGTTTTACCTTAATGTTAATGCCTTCCCTCTGAGACTACCCCCAATTTATCCAGGATAAATCTCATTTGTATATAACTGTTTGAATGTTGTCTCCTCCATTAGTCTGTGAGCTCCATGAGGGCAGAGACTATTTTTTTTCCTGTCTTTGTATCTACAGTACTTAGCACAGTGCCTAACACATAGTAGGCACTTAATAAATGCTTGTTAACTGACTGAGACAAAGAAAGATAGTAGTTAATTGGTAAGGTGCCTAACTATACCTGTTTATATTTCTGTATATATTGTTCTGTGTTATGTATCATCCACTTAAATCATGTTTATGCCAATAGTAAAATTTCTAGCTATTTAATAGACTTTTATTTTCACCAAAAAAAAGAGCCACAATTGAAAAGAAAAGAATGCCACTCTCCCATCAATTGATCATGCTTATTAGACACATAAACGCTATCCACCCAAGAATACTTTCAGTTTTCAGATGACAGGTAATTCATGAAGGAAGTGGTGCCTTGGTTGGATCTTAGAGCTTCCTCCAAGCTGCCAACTTAATCTTCCAAAAGAAGATCTGCCAAAAATAAGGATTCTCAAAGTTGAAATGAGGGAGGAGAAGACTGCATAAAAGCAAGTATTAGGGAAGGAAATAAAGCAGATGCCAAGTGTTATCCTTGCAAAGGCAAAACTGTAAAGTGATGGTAAATGTCACAAGTACTTACCCATGTGTAGCCCAGTGCAGAGCAGATTGGACTTGGGCTCCAAAATGGTCCAAAAATGAGCTAATGGATGGATGCCTTGAAGGAAGCTGAAATTTTAGGGTGCTCTTTTCTTTCTCCAAGTTTTCTAATTTTTGTTTTAATTCTTCAGCTAGATACCCAAGAGAGGAAGAAAGAAAAAAATGAAACCATGAAATTCAGGATGAATCTTTCTTTTCAGTACTTCTCACTTTTTTTTCTATATGGCATCAGTATAAGGAACTCCCAAGATAGAAATTCCTTCCATTGATGCAGGTCTGCAACTCCTCTCTCTACAATTCATAATCTTAGCAAGTTACCTATGGCACTGAGAGGTTCAGTAACTTGTCCAGGATTATACAAGTAGTATGTATTAGATGCAAGATTTAAATCCAGGTTTTCCTGACTACAAGACAGGCCCTCTATCCAGTACATTACTGCTCTACCTTGCACATAGTAGGAACTTAACAAATGTTAGTTGAATTGAATGGAAACTTGCTTCTAAATGATCTTTATCCAAATGTCATGATCAACATGTTTTCTGGACCAATGGTTTTTATTTTTCTCATTCAACTGGCCCTCACAAAGTTTCTACTCTTTCCTATACATATGTTTGTGTGTGTGTGTGTGTGTGTGTGTGTGTGTGTGTGTGTACATTCTATTATTTTTATTTACATACCACTGAACTTGGTCATTCTTAAAAGGCTACTACTATCCAAACCCTATTCAATTCAACAAACATTTATTAAATGCCTCTTATCCTCATGGCACTATACTGGGTGAGAAGGAAACAAAGATGAAAAATGGTAAAGCCCTACCTTCAAGATGCTTACATTCTCCTGGGGTGGGGGTAGAGTAGACACAGGACAAGATGGCTCCCAAACAGGTAAATATAATGCAAGTCAGAGGGTGATGTGATCAAAGGAGAGAACCAGAAAACCCTCTAGAAAAATTTAAGGAAGGAGAAACTACTTTCACTTGGGGTTTAAGGCTTCACAGAAGAAATAATATCTGAGTTAAACTTTGAAGATAAGGATTCTGAAAGGTAAAACTGAGGAAGGAATTCACTTCAGGCATAGGGATACCTACTTGGATGCTGAGAATTAAGAGGTATCATGTTAAGTTAGAGCAGGAGTTCTTAATCTTTTTTTTGTGTCATAGAGCCCTTTGGTAGTCTCCAGACCACGTGTAAGAATATTTTTAAGTACATAAAATAAAATTCATTGGATTACAAAAGAAACCAATTCTATTGAAATACAATTATCAAAACATTTAAAATTAAGTTCACAGACAAGTAAAGAATCTCTGAGTTAGAAGGATAGCTAATTGTCTAGTCTGGCTGGAGGATAAGTTGAATAAAGGAAAGTAACAGGAAATAAGACTGGAAAGGTAAGTTGGAACCAAAATGTAGAAGGCATGGGGGCCAACAAGTAAAAATGCACAGAGTGAGGAAACTGAGTGTTGTAAGCAGCAAGTTGACCAGTATTGCCAGATCATAGAGTATATGGAGTAGAGTAAGATATAAGAAGACTGGAAAAGTAGGAAAGGACAAGAAAACAATTTACATGATTAACTTTGTTAATAACAAAACAAAAACACATGATTATAGCAAAAGATGGAGAAAACATCTTCAATAAAATATAGCACTCATTTCTGTTTAAAAAAACAATAAAAAGCATAAAAATAAAAAAGTCTTTTCCTTAATGTAATCAAAAACATTTATCTAAAACTAAGAAATAGCATTATTTTTAATGGAGAAATATTAGAAGTTTTCCCAATAAACTCAGGAGTGAAGTAACAATATATTTGCTATCACCATTATTATTTGGCAGTGTACTAGAAATGTTAGCTACAGCAATATGGTCCCCTAAAAAAGAAATTAAAGGCATAAGCATTGGCAAGAAGAAGACAAATTTATTTCCATATGCTGACAATATTTCATTCAGAACATTCTAGATAATTACCCCCAAAATTAATCAAGACAATAACTTCAGTATTATAGCAGGATACAAAATAAATTCATAAAAATCATCTTACTACAAAAAAAAACAGGAAAAGGAGATGAAAAGAGAAATCTCATTTAGAACAATTAAAGGCATTAAATATTTGGGACATAACCTACCAAGAGATAGGACACTTATGTAAGTACAATTTAAAACAATTTTCAGAGAAATAAAGGCAAATCTCAATAAGTAGAGGTCATCAATATGCACAGCTAGTCATTCAATGTACTAAAAATGGAAATACTTTCCAAATTAATTTACAGGATGTGAACAAACACTTTTCAAAAGAACTGCAAACTATTAGTAACCACAAGAAAGAATGCACCAAATCCTAATAAAAGGAATGCAAATCCAAATAAATCCACCTCATATTCAGCAAGTTAGCAAAGATGACAAAAGATAGGGAGTCAATTGTAGAAAGATTGTGGCACACTGATGCATTATTGGTGGAACTATAAATTAGTACAACCATTCTGGAAAGAAATTTGTAATTATGTAAAGATCTGGTACTGCTAAACCTAAATTACTGCTAATATAAGGCAGTAATTATCAAAATTATCTGGTATGGGCTAAGAAATAGAAAGGTAGATCAATGGAATAGAATAGATATACAATTATAGCAGCAAATAAACATCATAACTTTGTATATGACAAGTGTAAAGACTTAAGATTTTGGGATAAGAATTCATTATTTGGTAAAAAAAAAATGTTGGGAAAAGAAGAAAACAGTATGACAGAAACTGGGCATGGATCAATATCTCACACTATTTACCAAGATAAGGTCAAAATGGATACATGACCTAGATACAAAGAGATTTTGCAAGAAAATTAGAAAAAAAAAAGAACGTATTACTTATTAGACTTATGGAGAGGTGAATAATTTATGAATAAACAAGAGACAGAGAGTGCAATTAGGTGTAATATGGATAATTTCAATTATATTAAAGTTTTTGTACAAATAAAACGAATATAGTCAAGATTAGAAGGAAAGCAGAAAATTGGGGGAAATGTTTATAGATACATATACATGTGTGTATATATGTATGTGTGTATGTATATGTGTGTATATGTATGTGTGTGTATATATATGTATATATATATATATACATATATACACACACATATTTGTGTCTAATGGTGTCCATCTGTAGGGCAGGGGGAGAAGGTAGTAAAGAAAAAAATTTACATGATAATTTTTTTGTATATTTCAAATGAATGGCAAGTTGTTCATAGTAGATTTGCAGTTTCATGTACAACCATCTTTTTTATTGTATTATATTACAGAAAAACTTGTTTTATTCCATAAATTAAAAATAAATTTTTTAAGTAATCATGTAAAGAAATAGACTAAAATGCTCATACCCTTTTTACCCAGACGTTGACAAAGAAAGGTCCCATATATACTATTAACCAAAAACAATATCATAAATCCATGAAACATGCATTGCAACTGAATTTTTTACAAGAGAAAGGCACAGGCATGTGAGATCTCCTTATACCGAGGAGACTAGTGGTTCAGGGAAAACCTTGGTATCTAAGTAACAGGGAAAAGGAAAAGTCATAGAGGAGGGGGAAAGGACTAATCCCCTCCCAAGGCAAAGAGAAAGGTGATGACAAAAGCTCTAGGAACTGCTAGACCATGGAGATGAGATGGTCTACTTATCTACAAGGGTCTAAGCTACACAAACAGTGTCTCAGTCTGGTACAGACTGACTGGCACTTGTCTTGATTCCCAAAGACATACAAGGAGTCCAGATTGGGGTGCAAACAACATATTATGTCAGCTCAGGGTGCAGAGGTGGTAGAGGGAAGAGGCTTCATCCTTGATCAGGACCTCTTGTACACTCTGGTCCAGTGTTTCTGGAAAATATGACAACTCAAAAAGACAAGTTCAGGGGACCGCTTAATATTACTAAAATATTTATAGAAGCCCTTTTTGTAGTAACAAAGAACCTGAAACAAAGTAGATGTCCATTTCTTGGGGAACGACTAAATAAGTTGACATTCATGTATGTAATGGAATATTACTGTGCTCTAACTGTAGTAGGAGTTTAGTAGTCACAGGGGCACAGCAGCCAGCTTGAGACATCATTGAGCTCCAGGGTATATTCACACTCCTGCCACTATTTCATCCCCCTTTTCTTTCCTTTCTTTCTTCTTTCCTTCCTTCCTTCCTTCCGAAGGTCCTTAGAAGAGCTTAAGAATGGAGGTTTCTATCCCCACTTCCAATTAATACTATCACAGTAGGTCCAGAAATCTCAATTGAATTGATCAATCAATCAAAAGTAAATTAGGTATAATGACTCCCTTAATCAATTTGAAAGAATCATAGGGGCTTTGGGGCATTGGATGAAATTAGATGACATTATGAAGGAAATACCTTGTGACTGGTTGAAAAAAAAATCAGACATACTTTAATACAGCAAGCCAGTTTGGATCCACACATTCCAATAATAGGTCAGTCAAGTGGTGATCCAATCCAGAGGTTAAAAATCCTGAAAGAACATTGTCCTTGGAGGAAAAAGCGAGTTTTCTCTCTCCCTTTTCCCCCACCCCCACTGACCAGGTAATTACTTGGTAAATTTTGATAGGTTGAAAGATCTAGAATTCCTATTAGCATTGTTACCTGTGTCTGTCCACCAGAGCAGCAGTAGCTGACAACAGCATCTGCATTGGAAGCTAAGAGACAAACAAAAGTTAAGCTAGATGTACTAAGGAATGCTAGCTGAAGTACTATTCAAAGGCATTGACAGAGTATAGCAGAGAACTTAAGGGTCACTTCGTGAATATTCCACAAGAGAGAAAAGGACTTCAGTAATCAGGAGTTCTGGGTTTACCTTTGGCCACGTGTGCTTTCTAAACCCACTCCTCCATTAAGTCTTACTCAAATGTCTCATCACAACCTGATGCCAGTAACAGTGGAAAGCAGACATATAAGAAGATAATATATGGTAGGAAGCAATTTTTAGATTAAGAGAATGGCTCATAGGTTTTCCTTAAAGGGCAAATTGAAGAGTTGACACAATCGATCTTGCCATGTGTCCAAAGGCAACAAATAATGCTACTTGATGGAATACTTAATCATCTCATGTTGCAGCACTCATGATGAGTATTTTGCAAATATACTACC